CACACTAAAAGCCGTGAAACGGTGCGCGCGCGCGTGTGCATGATATAATACACCAAAGATTCAATCCCACGTGCGTTCTGACCCTCCGATTTAATTCCCATTGACGATGACGTGATGACTGCGCGGACCTCTTCTGAAACACATTCTTATCATCAGTATCATAATGTGTTTTGTTGTTATTCTCCGCCCCCCCCAAAGAAAATCAAACTTTTCTTTTTATTCGCCCCTCTCGTTTTTTTTCATCTCCCTCCACCTTTCCACAAGATTAAAAAACTAAATCGGGCAATGCCACGACCACTTTTCTGTCATTGCTCAAAACACAAATTGCGAGGCCTCGCATGATTGCACACGTCGCGCGTCATTATTCCCCCAACTAATTCATTTTGCCAAGCGACCTCGTCTTTCCGCCATTTTCGATCCTTCGTTCCGGTCAATCTTGAAATTGTTGACAGACGGGCATCAATTGTTGATGACGTTGACACAATTCCCACATTCCCGCAGTCGAATTCCCAAATTGAGACATTTTCAAGATTGACTTCCTCCATTTCTTGACCGACTCGAACCATTCCAACGTGTTCAATTAAATTAAATTCTTCACATTTCTACAAAAATCACACTCTCTCATTATCTGTCATCGTTTTTTTTTTTTTACATTCGTGTACCCCTTCAACGGCATCCATTAAAGATGCTTAACGTATGCAAGTTATTTTAATGCCGTTTATTCTCATTTTGCTCAATTACTGGTTCTTAATGGCCTTGTAAATTTACAATACGACAACTGTTATCACCCCCCCCACCACTGCATTAGATCAGTTATTTTAAGGCCCCCTATCATGAATGCACTCATTTCTAAATATGAGAAGTGCTTACAGTTGAGACAAAACGTTCCTTAAAAAAAAAACAACACACACAAAGTGCATTTGATGAACAATAATTTGGAGCTGCGCCTTAAAACAAAACCTTTGAACTTGAACAACCAATTGGAATGATTACAAATATTTGCCACCAAAACAACAGCGATGATGTCATTAACCGCAATGGTTTTTATTCCCGAAAAAAAAATAAACATTTCAAAAAACACTGAAAGAAAACCATTTTTACTGATCTCATTTTCCTTCATTTATAAAACAGTTTCCTGGGCCCAAAACTTCGATTCCTGTCCAAGTGAGGAGGCGCGATTTTTTAACTGTGGACGCTCCGAAAAAGAATCCCCCAAATGCATCGCCTTTGCCTCGGCCGAGTTGGGGCCATGGGATGCTCAACGTGCTCGCCACCTAAAAAAGGCGACGGATCCCCCGATTTATCTGCAATCTGGAGGCAGTTTGTCCAAACAGGGCTCACTTACCGAGGCCCTCGGCGAGGTGGTCGCTCTCGCAGACGTCTCGACAGCTCACCGGATACGTGAGGCCGAGCGCCGCCACCCCGC